ATTTTGTAGTTCCAGACAAATTCTGTCAATTCCGAAAAATAATTATACAGGTTCTATGGAAAAAAAGTGAAGATAATTGAGTCCTCATAATATAGGACTTGAGGACCTAAGGGTACCCTATAATATAGGACTTGAGGACATAAGGATACCCATATAATATAAAACTTAAGGACCTAAAGGTACCCTAATATAGGACTTGAGGACCAAAGGGTATCCGTATAATATAGGACTTGAGGACCTCAGGGTACTCTTATAATATAAGACTTGAGGACGTAATGATACCTCCTTAATATAGGACTTCAGGACCTAAGGGCACCCTCACAATATAGGACTTCAGGACCTAAAGGCACCCCTATAATATAGGACTCGAGGACCTAAGAGCACCCTTATAATACAGGACTTGAGGACATAACGATACCCCCCTAATATAGGACTTAAAGACGTAAAGGTACTTAAACACGCCCCCCCCCCTCCTCGGAATAGGTCAATATTGGTATAGGAAAAAGTGAATGAGACAGATGAGTCACCCTAGAATGTGTGGACATCAAAATTGTCCTGGCAAACCCTTCCTGTAAACATTTAATTTCTATTGGCTATTGCTCAGCCAATACGATTTCGAGGCAAATACAGCTCAGATTTGAACTCTTCACCTTGATTTACCCTAAGAAACTCGTTTTTCCTATAACTTGATTTCTATTGGTTACTGCTCAACCAATTGGATTTCGAGGCGAATGGAACATAGATTCGAGTTCTCCATTCTAGAAAACCTCGAACTATCATCTCTGTGATGCGAAGATAGAGCTCTAATTGTGGATCACATAGAGCGTGGACAAAAACAGAACCGAATTCCGATTAATTATCTTTACAATAGGCGAGCTAGCTTTCTTGTTTCTTTATGTTTTATATACCATTTTGTAGCTCGTGAAATTCTCTATCGAATGGTATATAATAGTTGGGGTTTTATATGACTATGATAGGAAAAGTTTTTTATGAAAGCAGAGAAGGGTCTATCTTCTCATAGGGAAAAATGACTATTTTTGCAATAACTCAGCAATGGTTCGGCCAACCATTCTCATCTTCGAACTCGACCGAGATATTGTTAAGACTAAACTGTGTAGAAAATTTCATCGCGATCGGACTCTCCTTTCAAAAGTTATCGTGTTAACGGCCGGACGGCCGGCCGGACGGACACACTGACCGATTCTAGAGTGTACTCACTTTTTGAGTACACAAAAAAAAATCAATTTTTTGTCTTATAGTTGAGTTCAATCTAATCAAATAATAAGTCCTTTTTATAGAAATATTCATTTTAGAAGTGAATCATATTGAGGATCTCTTTTATTCAAGAGAAAACAAATTAAAACCATTGAATATTTCTTTTATTTATTCATTGTTACACAATATATTAAAAAAATAAATGCGGAAACCTCGGATTTAAATCCGAGAGTTATGTGTACTTCAAAAAGTGAATGAGACAGATGAGTCATCCTAGAATGTGTGGATATCAAAATTGTCCTGGCAAACCTTTTCTATAAACACTTGATTTCTATTGGGTACTGCTCAACTAATAGGATTTGGAGGCAGATACAGCTCAGATTTGAACTCTTCACCTTGATTTACCCTAAGAAACTCGTTTTTCCTATAACTTGATTTCTATTGGTTACTGCTCAACCAATGGAATTTCGAGGCGAATGGAACACAGATTCGAGTTCTCCACCCCAGAAAACCTCGCACTATCATCTCTGTGATCGAAAGATAGAGCTCTATTTATGGATCAATTAGAGCATGGACAAAAACAGAACCGAATTCCGTTTAATTATCTTTGCAATAGGTGAGTTAACTTTCTTGTTTCCCTATGTTTTATATACCATTTTGTAGCTGGTGAAATTCTCTATCGAATGGTATATAATAGTTGGGGTTTTATTTGACTATGATAGGAAAAGTTTTTTATGAAAACAGAGAAGGGTCTATCTTCTCATAGGGAAGCATAGGGAAAATGACTATTTTTGCAATAACTCAGCAATGGCTCGGGCAATCATTCTCATCTTCGAACTCGACCGAGATATTGTTAAGACTAAACTGTGTAGAAAATTTCATCGCGATCGGACTCTTCTTTCAAAAGTTATCGTGTACACGGACGGACAGACGGCCGGACACACTGACCGATTCTAGAGTGTACTTGCTTTTTGAGTACATAAATAATAGGGCTTGAGAACCCAAGAGTACTCCCAATAGTAGGTCCGTTATCTCGTTCCTCGGTAACTGGTAACGGGCCGTTACCGTTCCCGGGTAACTGGTAACGGAACAGTTACCGTTATCTGGGAACGGTAACGGTAACTTTCCACCCCTATATATAGGTGACTTAGCCTTCTTACTTCTTTATATATAACATACCATTTTGTAGTTCGTAAAATTCTCCATCAAATGGTATATAACAAATGGGATTTTATTCGACTCTGATAGAGAAGTTTCTTACGAAAGCGACGATATATTGATCTTGCCCATAGAAAAAGTGAATGAGACAGATGAGTCATCTTAGAATGTGTGGGCATAAAAATTATCCTGGTAAACCTTGCCTATAAACACTTGATTTCTATTGGCTACTGCTCAACCAATAGGATTTGCGGGTGAATACAGCTCAGATTTGAACTCTTCACCTTGATTTACCCTAAGAAAGTCGTTTTTCCTATAACTTGATTTCTATTGGTTACTGGTCAACCAATGAGATTTCGAGGCGAATGGAACACAGATTCAAGTTCTCCACCCTAGGAAATCTCAAACTATCATCTCTGTGATAGGAAGATAGAGCTCTAATTGTAGATCACATAGAGCATGGACGAAAACAGAACCGAGTTCCGTTTAATTATCTTTGCAATAGGTGGGTTAGCTTCCTTGTTTTCTTATGTTTTATATACCATTTTGTAGCTCGTGAAATTCTCTATCGAATGGTATATAATAGTTGGGGTTTTAATTGACCATGATAGGAAAAGTTTTTAAGAGAAACAGAGAAGGGTCGATTTTCTCCTAGGGAAGCATAGGGGAAAAAATCAGTATTTTTGCAATAACTCAGGAAGGGCTCATCCAAACAGGCTCATCTTCGAACTCGACTGAGACATTGATGAGACTGAACTGTGTAGAAAATTTCATCAAGATCTGACTCCCCTTTCGAAAGTTATCGTGTATACGGACGGCCGGACGGCCGGACGGACACACTGACCGATTCTAGAGTGTACTCACTTTTTGAGTACACAAAAAGAGTTCTGCTTAGATGATTCCATTTTTATATGATTATCTATTCGTTGAGAACATTTTAACGACATAATCACTCATTCTACCCAATCTGTGGATATCTTGTTTGTTGTTACATCAACTGAGATATTGAACTGCATATGGATAAGACCACCGTTATACAATTTAAGATTTTTACATTGAAAAATCTTCATCGATTCGTTGATTTCTACGATGATTTATTATATAAAATATAATTTGTTCACTTTTTTTCAATATCTTCATATTTGACTTTTCAAGGACGTTCGTCCTAATCGAATTAAACCGAATTTCCTATAAATAGACTTAAATAAATATTCTTTCTTAGAACGAAACAATTTTGTCATTTTAAATTAACCTTTTATATCAACATCAGTTAACGATCATTGTTTTGTCTGAATTTATTCTGTTTGGAATTAATATAATCATCAACTCTCATACGACCTCTATCTATTTTATATATCATTCGATCTCTTTTTTTTTTCATCCGTTAGTGGAAAGTTCAATTGTTAGGTCCCAATCACACTAAAAATAGACGAATATTAAGTTCATTTTAAGTCAATGCTCTTTCATACCAAGCGATTAAATCGCGAATGAAAATAGAGGATACGCCTCTTTGATGTAGCCCATCTGCATAAAAATAATTTTTAATGCACTTAGAGATGTCGGTATCGTATGCAAACGATTTACATAGAAGTTTTGTTAAATTCGTTGTTACATTTAAAAAATTTGATTTAATTTAATTCTATTAATGGATAATCCTATGGCTTGAATAAGGATTGTCCTATATTAAACGACTTGAACTATAAAAATCCTTTAAATCTGTTTGAAACAGAAACAAATTATTTAAAAGTAAACAATAGTTGTAAGAATAATTTATTATGATAGAAAACAAAAGAAAAATCATAACAATTAATTTATGTTCTTGAGAATATTAAAGTTCACGAAACGTACATTGAAATAACAAAAAAAAAGAAGAATACGTAATAATTCAGTAGATTCATAAGAAAAAAAAACATGTCGTACAATAATAACAAAAAAAAACATTTGAACTTTTAATAACCATTAATAATAATAATAAGAAATATATAAACTGTGTTACAAAAAAAACAAAAGCTCTTACAATGGATTTTTAACAAAATATTCAGTTAATGCTTGACGAATATCATTTCCATCTGTAGTTTGACTGTTACACGATGGTTTTTTATAAATTACATGTGGTATATCCCAATCCAATTCAGAATTATCTCCAGAAATAATGCAAATATTATGCAAGATCGCAATAGCTTTGATAATTCTAACTGAATTATCTAATTCATATTCTAGTTTCCGATGAATACATCTAAAACGATTCTTCATAATTCCAAAAGCACGTTCTACTGTGCTCCTTGCCCTACTTAATCTATAATTAAACATACATTCTTTTCTAGACATATTTGGTTTTTCAATATATGGTTTGATAAGTGTTGCATCTAATGGAAATGCAGAATCTGCTATAAGATGAGCATATATTGTCACATTATTTTCAATAAGATAATACTTTTTATAAATTGAATTTTGAATTACATCATATAATGTTGATCTACTGTAAACGGAACTATCATTGCAGCGCCCAGGCGCTCCAACATTAATATATGTAAACATGAGATTACTATTTACAGCAGCTAACATAATCACAGAATGGAATTTTTTATAATTGTAATAATCGGGTTCAGCACCAATAGGTGGTTTAATTTGAATGTGTGTGCCATCCAGAGATCCTAAACATAATGGATAGCCAAACTTGGTTAAAAATCCATTCATTGTTTCATATATTTCAGCATCTGTACTGGGAAATTTAATTAATTTATATAAAAATAAATCTATTATTGTATTGCAAAATTCATGTACTATAAGACCAGTTGTATTAACACCAATACCAAATAAGTTGCTGATGGTTCTTAATTCGCTGCTTGAACCCAAGGCATAAAGAGCACAAGCAATTCTTTTTTCCACAGGAATTGCAGCACGATAATTTGTATCATTTTTAAATACATGGGGGCCAACTAGACGAACTAATTCACCAAAGGTGGAACGTTGTATACGAAAATTATTCTTGAACTGTTGGTCATTCATTAAAGGAACAATTTCTGTCCACCAGCGACCACTTCTTTTGTAACACCATATCAGACGACGACTGGTAATTAAGGTGCGTTCCGAAATTATAAATAATGAAGTAATAAGGAAATTTCGAAGAGTTAAATCTCGTCGATACTTTTGTATAAAACGTTGACATTCAAAATTTGTCTTGGAAATTTCATTTTTCAATCGTTTTTTTTTTAACAAATATAAATATAAAAACTGCAGAATCGATTGCATTTCCATCTAGAAACAAAGTGAAGTTATCAATCGTATAAAAATTGTTTAAATAGATTGATACTTAGCCTATGGATGTGACTAGCTTGATGATATTATGAAACAAACTGATGGATAGGTAAATTAACGTGGTATTTTAACATTTCATAGAAAGAATCTTAATAAATATTACTCAACAAATATTTTACATATGTTAATCGCAATAATAAGGAAGGTATACAGAAAAAACCAAGAGTATCATAAATGAGTATAAAAAGAAAGAATTCATTTCAACAAGTACATAAGAACACAGAAGATTTTTATCAAGAATATGTATCGAATAATACAAGTGGTAATTTAACAAAAACAAATTATCGATTGACTGTCATATTGTTGAGGAAAGTTTTAAAAACATTTAGGAATTCTCGTTCATTTTCCGCACTCTCTTGTTGGAGTTGGATTTGTCTTTGCAGAAGTTCAATAACTTTGACTTCGGAACGAGAAGCATTTTCATTAGCAGATTCTATTTTCCCAATCAGGTCTTGAACTAAATTCACTCTATTTAAAAAAAAAAGGAAAAGTACATTTTTTTAACAAAGTATGTTCACAGTTCTTTACTTTATTTCCGATATTCGTCTCTTTTTTTCTGGTGCAGTTTTTTTTGGTTTAGATGAATTTGTAACAGAAGAAGTATCAGATTTTGAAAGAGTATCAACGTTCGAAGAACTTCCTAAATGATTTGGATTAATATCAGTAAAACTATTTGTTTCTTCAGTGTCTGCTAATGATGGAACTAAATCATCGACCAGTTCTGATATTTGAGTAGAATTAAGATCAACTGGAGGTATATTTTCAATATCTTGTAAAACTTGTTCACCTATTTTCATCGAATCCGTTAACAAACTATCATCATTGTACGGACGCTCACCTAAAAAGAAAATAGTATACGTGGTAAACATAGAAGTATCAATAAGGAATTCGAAGAAGCTGTGTTTTATGTAGGTGAAAAGAAAGTTTTAAAAAGATCAATTCATATTAAAACGAAGAAAATTAGCCTTACCTAAGATTTTGTCCACCAACTCGTAATACGGCCACGTCGGTGGACTACTTCCTGTCCGACCTAATTCCTTTTTTTTTCTCCGATATTCCGTTACTAAGTTTCCAATTTTTGATTTCACTTCAGAACCTGTAAGAGAACGACGTTGTAAGATTTTATTAAGTTCATCGGCCATTGATTGATAAATAGAAGCATTTCTTGATCCGCTTGACATGAGTCTTGAATAATTTTCACTCCATATTGCAATAAACGTTTTTGTCTCTTCTTCACTCCAATTTTTGCAACGTTTAACTAATTTTCCACCTAAAGAAAAGAAATTCGTCGATTCTACAATTTAAATGAATATACTTGTTTCTTCAAGCTTCAATCTTTTATTTGATTGTTTTGTATTCCGTTGTGTTTTTTCAGGACAAGGTGAATCACTTGTTTTTTTATTTTTACATAACGTTGTTGGCTGTGGCATAGATGCACTATTCGACAAACCTAGAATTATAAAATTTTCACTTTTATCGATTTCATTCTTAAAGGTCCAACGCAAAAAATTTTTTTTCCCTCAGAACTTATTTTCCGACTGAAAAGTTTCTCTCTTATTGAAAGAAGATTGAAATTTTTTTGCAAGAAGATCAAAAAAGGATACTTGAGATCTTTGCACTTACACATATTTGTTGTTGGAATAACTTCACCTAAGCATGATTTATTTATTGGTATGCCCACTACAGATGATGATGGATTTAGAATCGTTCCATGAATACAGTTATTAATTGATGAATTATTTGATTTTTGTGCTGTTACTTCATCATATAAGTTAAATGTTGGAGGTGTTGAGGTTATAAAAACACGAGATGGTGCAACAGCAGTTGCTGAAGATGTAGTTCCGTTGACAAGTTGAAGTGAAAAAGATTTCTGATGGTGAACCACCGGATGTATAGTTTGAAAGGTATTTGCACCTTGTGAAAGATTATAACTTTGAAAATCTTTGTTGGAAGGTAAAACAAATCGTACTATTTGTGGTTTCATTGTACAATGAAGCAAGAAGATAAATAATTTCTATTTTTTCTGAATAAAATGTGAATGAAAAAATAAGTGAAATAGACGATATTCATTTTAACGTCAGATTAGATCATGACGGATATGTCCATATACATTTACCTCATTGAAAAAATGCACCTATAGAAGGCGCCACATGTTTTTTTTTTATTGGTGAAACAGAATTATGTCTGATTGGTGCATTAACGTTAAGTCATCTAAAAAAGATGACTTATCTCTGTTTTAACGTTTCTAGCGATTTCATTGGTTAATTCAATTTTAACTTGTTTGGTGTGATTGAGGCCTTATTATCTATACGACCAGAATCGAATTATAATCATCGATCAAGACTATCAATTCGATTTTTGACCATAATTAACCTAACCAATTGATTTTTTCTTTATCAAAAAAAAAAAGTTGATTTGATAAAAGTCATATTGTTCTTTGAATATCTGATTGACCATCCGAGATTTGATTTCAAAGTAAATAAAAACTATTAGATTTCAAATCTCATTCTATTATAGAAACAAATATACTCTAGTTATTCCAATAGAATCATTTTTCATCAATAAAAACAAAATAGATCGAACATATTATTCACCAAGACGATTTAATTCACCTAGAACTTTCCGATAATCATAAGAAAATTTATCGAAAAGAAATCATTTTTATTTTCGATAAATAAATCAAAGATTCGAATATATTTTTCAATTTATTCTCAATCAATTTCAACCATTGAATAAAGATAATCATCTTTAAGATCAATAATCTTCATCTACCTTATATATAATATTAGTTATTCTTCTATCCATATTAATAAATCATTTAATAAAACTCTAGATAGAGGTTCAACCTTGATATTTATCAACCTTGAGAGATAATAGAAACGATTATGTTGAAAAGGCAACTTATCTTGAGAGAATCATCATGATTATTATCAAGAATTTATTCGAAATTCTAAACAGCCATTGGTCATTCTCTGAAACAAAAACATAAAAGGAATTATTAATAACAGAAGTATAAGCAAATATAGAGAAAGATTTTACTCGAAAATCTATTAGAAACGAATTTCAACATTCTATTGAGTTTATAGAAAAAGCAAAAGACCATTGAATTTTTTTAAAAGAATAATTATAGAAAAATCTGATTGATTATTTTTTTTGTAATATTTAAATGAAATAATTACATTTGATTAGAATATTATTCTTCTGGTTTAAAACCTTGTTCATTTATAATAAATTCTTCGTTATAATAATAAATTATCTTTAATAGGTTGAAGAGATTATTATTTCAAAGGAGAATCTCTATATGGTAAGACATTCTCTTAATTAATTATCTTATGCAAGGGCTTGTCGAAGTTTTATTCATGTCCTTCTATAGATGTTCGAATAGATCTTTCTGATTTATTTATATAGAATAAATAAATCGATTTATTTATCTCCTGTTCGATGATCATCTCATTGACCAATTGAACGTTGATTTTGACTGTAGGAAGGAAATCAATTTGAAATAAATTATTCTAAAATGTCGAATATTCATTGTTGACCATTGTTGAAAATCTCGAATAAAAATTCAAAGACAAAGATGATCGTTATCATAAACGAAATAAACAAGATTTATTGATCTTGTTATGTTTCCTTGTTTTCTTAACTAACAAATAGTAACATATTCTCTTTTTTTTTTTTCGTGACAATAATAGGACTAGAAAAACAAAATTATCAGACAACGACATGCAACACGTCTATAAACTAGAAAAGAAAAATTCGTTTTTTTTTCCGTCAAGTCAACAAGTTTTTTATAATCATAAAACGATACGTTTTAATTGATATTTTAAAGTTAATATTGAATATTGACAGGATGATCAAGTTATATTCATCTCGAAATAAAACTCAATTCGATGGTGACGATTGTCAATCGTTCAATATTATGTTAAACATTTTCCTTTTCATCATTCATATTTAATACGTTAACCTAACACGAACAACGTTTTATATTATATAGACATCACTTTTTCATTTTTTGGTGAGTATTAACTTTTTTTTTTTTAAATTATAGAATATAAACGTTTTGTTCGGAACGATAATAATCATCAATAGAATATTAACAAACAAACAAATAAATTGAGGGTGACTCAAAACTAACGTTACTGAAAGAAAACAAAAATTTCATATCGTTCATTATGGAGAAGAGCAAACGAACTGATTTTTTTATCCCTAGTAAAGGTATGTTCACATTTCATATTTATAGAGACAAATTACCTTTTCACAGATAGGATAAAATGCAACATACGTAACACAGCGTCTTGTCTAGGGATGTATTTATCAAAATAAACATTTCATATGTCTCTTCAATTGATAAAAAAATCAACTCGTTCGGTCTTATCCATAATAAGAGATATTCAATTCTTTTTCGGTTAAGTTCATTTTCCACTATCCTTTTTATTCATTTTTTTTTCCATTGGTGAAAAAGTCAAAATATCTTTTGTTGAAGTCAATAGTGGTAGTTAAAAAAGGTTCTTTCTTGCCTTGTCTTTATCAATATGATGTCTTAACATCGATTTACTAGAGATAAACAAAATCAGCTCGTTTGATCTTCTCCATTATGGATTTATTCGATTTTTTTTTTCGGTAACGTTACTTTCGTACCACCCTGCATATACATCGTATATGTCCGTTCATTATATATAAATATCACTCATATCTATATGATATTTGACATCTAGAAATTTTTTTATTATGTTAATTAAAGTTGAACGAGAGGAGGGGAGGGGAAAGGTGAGGCTCCCGGAGTACAGTGGAAGTAGAGTAGAAGTACGGACTCGATGAGTCTCGCTTTTCTCTCTGTTGGTTGAGAGGAGTCTCAAATTAAGTCTATTTATTTGTAGATTTATAGTTAGTTGAATAAAAACTATCCTTTTTATCTATTGTATTCTATGTCGACAAATTCAAAAATAGATGAAAATTCATGATTAACAATAATAATTGATAAAGATCTACGTTCAATAGTTAATAATCTATGATTAAATTGATTAATTTATCTTAATAATAAACAATAAATCAATGTTCTTCGTGATGATCAATTATCAACATAAGATGATCGTATATTATCAAAAAATAATATAAATGAATATAACGAAATAATTATTTTGTTAAGATCAACAGATATTTATCTAATAGAATGATATAAAAGTCTTTTTTTTTTATTGATTAAATTATTGAACGAATAAATGATGAAAATATTGATGTTGTTTTTTTTTCATTTAGATATGGTGATAAACAATTATAATCAAGATTAGATTTGTCAGGATAAGATAATATTTATTATAATCATTAATGAATTTAATACTATTTTCATATTTTTGTTTTAATAGAATTAAAATTTGTTTATATATATATATAACGTCTTATATAAACAGCAAATAGAATAAATTTAAAAAAGACATTGATCATAACCTGATTTTCTTCTTGTTAGTATTTTACTTGATTATTAAACAAGTCAATTATTATCATCACAATGATCATCATCAATAACAATATTGACAACAAACAGTTTTCAATAGAGGTCGATCAATTAAACGTCAACGTTTTATGTTTAGTGAAGCAACATTATATAGAACATATTGAGATTGACCATATCCTGTTTATCGATGGGTTTGACCAGGATGTTTTATTTTATTTGGGATTTTATACAATAATCAAGGTAAATTTTTGACCATTTGACATAGATAAGAGAAGTGAATATTTGATTTTAAAATAACTATTTTATTTCGAATTGTTCTTTTACCAATCTATGATTATTGATTCAATGAACATTGTGGTTTAAAAGAGAGTTTATTTTAATATTAACCAATTGAAAGAATAAATAAATGATAGTTTTATAATAATGAATTCCTATATTAATCAATTAACTGAGACATTCGATTGACGGTTAAATAATCAAGGTGATTACTCTTGTTTTAAGTCAACGACTATTTTCATCTCCACTGTTTCAAGCTAGCTGTTGAAATGTTATATATAATATGTTTATATAGATCTTTTTATATCAGTTATAGTAGTCGTTTTAGTTTCAATCTTCTAGACGATTAGATTTGACAAATGTTTTTCTATACGATCGTTATTCGGAATCGATCTATTTATTTAAACTACTAATAGATCTAAACAGGTCGAGAACAGATCAATGTTTCCTTTTTTTTTCTCTATTCTAAAATAAAATCGAACAGTGAAATTGTTTCTATCAATCTCTATCAAGAAAACCTTTTTACATTTATATTTATATTACTTTAATAATAATTAAACAAAACTCATTGATTAATATAGAATATTAGAATATTATTTATTACAAACAAATATTTTCAGTTTTACAAAAAACAAAAAAAACAAAAAACCGAAGTGTTATATCGACGTCGAACTGTTTGGGGCCAGTCTGCCAGATGACCAACGTGCTCAAAGAGTCATAGAAGAAATTTGAGTAAAATAAATAGATAACGATGATTTATTTCGGAGAAAAAACTCTGATTAAATCTTAGCTAGTCAAGTCACGTTACATATCTATTTATAACGAATCGAGATTTAACGTTTGACCAAGAGTTGAGCATAGATTGATTATAATAAATATATTTGGAAGTAATTTCTGTATTGATTTGAGAAATGTTAAAGATAATAACCGATATTAATTGATCCTATTCAAGATAAATTATATCATTGATTATTATAATTTTATTTGAAATCAATCAACTTTTTATATCTATTTAAACAAAATGAAACTATAGATAAAGATGAGTTTTATTATTGATCAACGTTGTTTGTTGAAAAGCATCTTATTATCCTTAGAGAAAAGATCGATATCATTATCCTCATTCTAGATTTCAAAAAGTTGATTTGACTTAAATTATATTTTCCCTCTTATCTAGAATATGTTCAATTTAACCTCGAAAGTAAATCGTTATACCTTCAGTTAATAGAAGAAATATTCAAGATATTTAAATAATAAAA